GAACTAACATCATCTTGCCTTAATATAGGTGAAGATCTCAGATAGTGTGATGAAGAGGACCTTAGAAAAGCTCATAAGTAAATTACTAGCTGTGTATTCAGTGCAAGGGTTTCCCTGTTGTGCAGCAAATGCAGCATTGGGTGATACAAGGGGAGAAACATAAAAAGCAATAAGCTATAAATTCGATTGACACTGTCCACTCAAAAGGGCCGTATTGCGGGAGAAATAACAATAGTAATAAGTGATAGGTGGCCGTGCCAGCACAATCTCACGCACACACACGGGCGCGCGCTCTCACGCACACTCTCACACGCACGCTCACGCACGCGCGCATGCTCTCGCACGCGCGCACGCTCTCACGCGCGCACGCGCGCGCTCTCACGCACACACGTGCACACTCACGCACGCACGTGCACACTCACGCACGCTCTCACGCACACACGTGCACATTTGCGCGCACTCTTACACGCGCACGCTCTCACACGCGCGCACGCTCGCGCACGCTCTCACACGCGCGCACGCTCGCGCACGCTCTCACACGCGCGCACGCACGCTCTCACGCGCGCACGCGCGCGCTCTCACGCACACACGTGCACACTCACGCACGCACGTGCACACTCACGCACGCTCTCACGCACACACGTGCACATTTGCGCGCACTCTTACACGCGCACGCTCTCACACGCGCGCACGCTCGCGCACGCTCTCACACGCGCGCACGCTCGCGCACGCTCTCACACGCGCGCACGCTCGCGCACGCTCTCACACTCTCACACGCGCGCACGCTCTCACGCGCACGCACGCTCTCACACACGCGCACGCACGCTCTCACACACGCGCACGCTCTCACACACGCGCACGCTCTCACACACGCGCACGTGCACACTCGCACGCTCGCGCACGCTCTCACACGCACACACGTGCACACTCGCACGCTCGCGCACGCTCTCACACGCACACACGTGCACACTCGCACGCTCACGCACGCTCTCACGCGCACACACGTGCGCACACACGTGCACACTCACGCACGCTCTCACGCACACACGCACGCACTCACACGCACACACGTGCACACTCACGCACACACGTGCACACTCACGCACACACGTGCACACTCACGCACGCTCTTACACGCACACACGCGGGTCCGGCTCGCAGCAC